CTGCTCGGCGTGTACCTGGGGGTGTTGGGGGCGTGTCCCGGCCGCGTCCCTGGCCGCGTCCCTGGCCAGGGAGGGGGGAGACGGCGGAGATGAGAGGAGAGGCGGGGAGGAGGAGAGAGGAGGCAGGAGGAGAGCACGTTGGACTCGGAGGATCCCCTCCAGCAGTTGGAGTAGCGAGCGATGTACAGGTCGCTCCAGCGCGCGTCGGCAGCTGCGGGAGCAGAAGCATCCGCGGAGGAGGCGGCGGCGGCGGTGCAAGCGGCCGTTTGGCGGGCGGCGCCCGACAAGGACAGGGTGGCAGTGCTGGCCGCCAGGCCGTGCACAGCACTAGTGTCGGTGGCAGAAGGTGCAGCGACGGCTTGGTCCTGGCCAGACCGTCTCGGCTGCGTCTGCAGCCGGGCCACGCAGATGACAGTCTTGCGAGGGCAAGGCGGCCCACCCGCGGCGACGCTCAGACAGCGCTCCGGAATGTCTCCCTCGGGCGTCGGCTCGATGTGGTAGAAGGACGAGCAGAACTGCGCTGTCGTGCCGAGCAGGCTCCGGCCGCTCTCTGGAACCACGGTGTGCCCATCCGCGGAAGGGTATATCGACATTTGAGCACCCGCCCTGCCACACGCGCAGGCGGAGAGCCACCCGGGCGGATTGCCAGCTGCCACGCGAAGCGCAGGACGACTCTTTGACGCCGCCGCCGCGCGACGATTCCGCCGGTGAGGTGGGACGTAGGCGGACGTCGCCTCGGCGCCGTCGAGCACAACAGACACCATATACGTGTATATAGTGGTTCAAAAGTCGCGACACGAGCTGGCGCTGGCTGCCTCAAAACTTGGCCGACCCCGCGCCGAATGATTTTCTTTTCGCAAAGAGATCGGACTCTAGACATTGCGGCCTGCGAGTAGAGAGCACGCCTGCTATTCACAGCACAAGCTTTGCCTGGCAGCTTCAGCATGTGCAGCGAAAAGCATATGCCCCCCTGTGAAAAAGTGAGGCGTGGTCTCTACTCGCCAGCTCCTCGACCCTGGCGAGTAGAGGCCCCCCCCCGCCCACCCAGGGTACCCTCTCCGAGGACCCATTTGGGTATGCTCTTTCGAGGACTCGCCGGGGCTCTGCTCCAAGAGACCTCGAGAGAGCGTGCGTGTCAAGCGTGTGCATCGCGATTTTCTTTTTTGCACCGAGAGATCGGACTCCTTCACGACCTGGTCTTGCTGGCACGGGTAGCGTTCCTCATCCTCGGGCCGTGGATGATTCACAAACCCCGGGACCCATCCCTCGGGAACGTAGTAGGGCTCGCTCATCTCCTGCTCGCCTCGCACGCTTCCCTTCGCTTGGGACGTGCGTTTAGCCGTAGCTCTACGGCGCAACGGTGGAACGCTAAACCGGTCCCCCCCCCCCCCCCTCCCGTTTTCTTTTGAGGGGGGGGCAAGGTTCCCTTTTTTCATTCAATTTTCTCGCCTGAGCCTCTGCCCGCCGTGGTGGCCAGTCTGCAGCGCCTAACACTCTTCTTTCTGGGGCTTGCCCGCGTCTCACCCGTTCCGTGTCGAGCTGGTGTCGAGCAGTGATACCCCCTCCACTTGCTTTCGTGGAGTAGTGTCGGTGCCGTCATAGTAATCATCTCGTGGAGCAGTGTCAGCAGTGTCGGTGTGCCGCGCCTCCGTCACGCACCCTCCCTCTTTTCACTTTTCTTTCTTTTTTTACGTTTCGGTGTGCAACAGCCTGAGTGCCAGTGCCGTGCATGAGGGGTGCCGCTCCTCGTTCTCAATTTCGCTTACAAAACTGCGACACACACACCCGCCTGTGTCTTCACGTCCGCTTTCCGCGGCGCAGCCACGCATTCCTACACACAACTGGCGAGACGAAGCCATGCTCCGCGCTGTTCGAGCGGGAGATGGTGCTCGCAGAACTCAAACCCGTTCCGCAGCGGCGCTGCCTCTTGGTGAACGCTCACTGACCGGGTTTTACATCGTGCTCCAGTCCTCGTTAGTCCTTTGCATTGCACTGCCGACTGCTTGCGTGGCACTGGCAGCGGCCATCCGCACGGTCCATCCACCGGTGCACTGCAGCACGGCTTGCACATCGGCCCGCCAGGGTCCGAACCCAGGCGCCTAAGCACCCCATCCAAGCGGCAGTGCATCCTGCACACACAGCACGAGACCAGCACGCCACCCTGCGCGAGTCCCACCACGCGCCAAAGCCAAAGGTCGCGCACGTCCGTGCGGGTCAACCCGCGATGTAGTCCCACTCGGAACGGCCCCGAGAGCGGAACGGAATGCCTCCCTGCACACTCAATTCGTGGCGCCACCTACGACCTCGCGCGCGGCGATTGTGAGGGGCTCAGTCCAGAAGCCTCGGCATCTTTGCGCTTGGCGCCGTCGAGGTCTCGGGCCCCTGCTCGCGGCCGTCGCCGGCGTCGTGCTCGCCCGAATCGAAGACGCTCCGCCCCGAAGGGGACGGCGGCGGGGCCTTCCGCTTCCCGTCCTCGGGCTCGGAGTCAGACGCCTCGTCTTCGGTCTCGGGCTCGGCCGCTAGGCGCCGAGCGCGCTTGTGCGCGAGCCGCAGCCGGAAGTTGATCTGGTAGCGGTCTTCCTTGTTCAGTCCTTTGACGCACTCTCGCAGCCAGAGGACCGCCTTCTTCCCGTTCGGATGCTCAGCGAACTCGTCGGCGAAGATGTCGATGAACGTCCGCCAGGTCATATTCGCCAGGGGCGCCAGGGCCATTGACAGGACACGGCAAAGTTTCGCCGCGAGTCGTCTCTAAAACGCCAAATTTGGTTCCCTCAACGCACTGGTTTCTTTTTTGACGTTCCCCGTCGCCGCACGGAGCACCGGCCCGCACGAAGCACCGGCCCGCGTCACCCCTCGCCCACGGTTGTTTTCGCTCGGTCCTCTTTCTCAGAGTTCTCCCTCGCCCACGGTCGTTTTTGCTCGGTCCTCTTTCTCAGAGGGAGTTCTTCCCCCTTCGTTCTGGGCCTTCCCCGCGGCACAAAAAGAGGCAGACGGGCTAGCTCGACGTATCCTAAAACGCGCGCGCCAGACAGAGTCGTCGCTCGTCATCCCGGGGTTACCCACACACGACCCTATCACGCGTCTCACATTCGCAAACCAAGTCAGTCAAACCTCTTGCGACGCACCGCGGTGATCGCCCGCGTCTTCATCGGCATCATCGCCGCGGCCCGGCGCTCCGTCGCCTCCGTCTAGCGCCGCGATCGCCTCGGCGACCGTCTCGGCGTCGAGCTCGAGCTCCTCGACGGCCGCGCCCAGCAGGGGCGCGTCTGCCGCCTCGCTCGCGCTGGCCCTGGCGGTCGCCGCCGCCCCGGCCGCGTACGCCGCGTTGCCGATCGCGGCCCGTGCGGAGAGGTTGTACCACCCCCAGTACGTCTCCCGGAAGCTCTCGCCCAGCGATGCGGCCGCGCCCACCGCGAGCGACTCGACGGCTGCGGTCTCGGACTCGGCGTGGGGCTCGCGCTGCCAGCGCAGCCGCACCGCGCCGCCGCAGTGCTCGCACCGCCGCTCCTCAAACCCTGCGACCGTGGTCGGCCACTCGATGGAGGGTCGCCCTGCGCAGTCCTCCGAGCCGCACTCGAGGATGCAGATGTCCTCGCTCCGCCGCCGCACGCGCCCGTACACCTCTGCCGGCGTGCCCGCCGTCGGAAGCACGTGCAGAGCCCCCACACGCAGGATCGAGCCCTGCAGCATCGCCGGAAGCTTGCGCAGCATCCGCAGCTCGCGCGTGCGGTCCCTGCGATCCAGCCCGAACGCGATCGCGTCATCCTCCGACCGAGGGGCCCACGCGTGCGTCGAGAGCATCGCCATCCGCAGCGCCGGCGCGGCGCGCAGCCGCTCCTGCCCTTCCTTGTAGAGCCGAAGCTGGTGCGCCTCCACCGCGTCCTTCTCCGCCTCGCCCTTCCGATTCCAGAGCCGGCGCTGCGCCGCCTCGTACTCGTCCACCTCCTCGCCGCCGCCAGCTGCACGCGCGCGCGCCTTGAAGCACCTCGGCAGCTGCGCGACGCCGAGCCGCTGCTGCAGCTTGCGTCGTGCGCCCGCCACCTCCTCCGACGCCTCCGCCACCTTCGCGTCGCTCCGCGCCGCCTGCCGCTCCGGGCACGCCCGCGGCAGGTCGCCAAAGCCGCGCACGCCGCCCACCTCCGGCACACGCGACGCCGAGAGCGACGTCAGCGGCGCGCGCTCCACGCTCCCGAGCGCGTCGCGCCGCATCCAGTATGCGCCGAGATCGCGCGTGCGCAGGTCTGCGCGATAGACCCGATCCATCGTCCGGGAGTTGACCTGGCGGTGGCCCAGCACTCGCGCCGCGACGGCGCCGTGGCCCGCCGACGCCGGCTGCTCGCACGCATCTTTGCGCAGACTCCACGCGCCCACCTTGTGCCGGGCCATGCCCAGCTGGCGCCCCGTCTCGATCAGGCGCCGGCAGAGTCGCTGCACGTCGAAGCTCTCGGTGAACAAGAAGAACCCCGTCGCCTCGTCGACGCCGGGGAACAGAGGCCGGTCCAGGGCCGCCTTGTCGAGCACCCAGCCGTCCGCTCGGCACGCCGCAACTAGCGCCGCCAGCGTCTCGTAGCCCGTGTCCTCCAGCTCGAGCCCGGCGAACCCGCTCGGCTCAGCCACCTTGCGACGCAGCGCCGCCGCGCTCGCCTCGCTCAGCTTCGAGTAGCACGCCCTGAAGCTTCCGCAGCGCAGCAGCAAGCGCACCATCGCCAGCGTCCCGATGCGCATCATCTGGTCCGAGTCGGGCGTGATCGCCGTCCCGAACTCGTAGCACGCGTAGTACTCGCCCTTCTTGCGCGCGAAGGTCACCTCCATTCGGAGGAGGGCCTCGAAGTCGCCCTCGGTCATCACGCCCGCCCCGTCTAGTCCCCGCAGCAGCACATCCGCGGCGATGGACAGGTCGCCCATCGTCAGCGGCGGCAGCTCGTGCCTGCCGGCGAGCGGCACGGCTCAGTGGCATCTCGCCCCATCACGCGCCAACGCCGCGCCGTCCTACTCGCCTCTCCCTCTCTCTCTCAGCGGGAGACGCGCGCCAGTGGCTGTCCGAATCGGCCGCGTCCGCCGCGTCGTTCACCGCCATCCCCGGCCGGCACCCGGTCTGCCGCGCGAAGCACAAGTAGGCGTTCATGATGAAGGCCACGTTCACCTCGAACGGCTCTAGCAGCTGCGTGTCTTGCATCTGGTACTCTCCCACCTGGAAGAGGTGCTGCCTCGTGCACGGCTTCGTCGTCGCCTCGCGCAGCTCGGCCATCGTCCGCCGGCTCGCCTCGGCGCTCGCCCTCTCGCTCGCCGCCCGCTGCGCCGCCTCGCTCTGCCCGTGCGACGCGCTCTCCCGCGCCGCCTCGCGGCCCGCCGCCCGGCCGGCGGCTCCTGCCGCGTCCTTCATCCCGCCGCCGCCGCCGTCGAACAGCGACATCACCTGGTTGGTCACCAGCCGCCAGTACTGCCTCGCGTCGCTCGGCATCGCCGGCCAGATCTCGCGCCACACGTGGTTCTTCATGTGCTGCAGCGCGACGTAGACCGTGCTCTCGCCGCGACCCGTGCGCACCGTCGGCTCCTCCTCCCGCGCGTCGCCCCGCTCGGTCGCGTGCCACCGGCTCGCCCTCAATGCTCTGACTCGCGTCGTCGCCAGCCACTTGCCGAAGCGGATCGTCCACCGCATCGTCGGGTGCAGACCGAGGGCCGTCCGCTGCATCGGCACGCTCTTCCCTGCCGCGGCCTGCGTTGCAAGGAACTCGCGCAGCTGCAGGCGCACGCGCCGAAGCTGCACCGACAGCGCCGGCCCGTGGGGCGCTAGCATCGGCTGCTCGTCGCCACGCGTAGCCTCGTCCTGCCGCTCGTCGTCCTCCGCCTCGAGGACGTCCGCCAGCGCGCTGCGCCGCACACCCCGGCACGCGGGAGGCGGCGCCGGCCGCACCTCGGCCGCCTCGGCGGCACCCGCGGCACGGGCGCCCTCGCCGTCCGCGCGGTCCATCGCCGCATCCCCGTCCACGTCTGCGGCGGCGCCTCCTGCGCCCGTGCCGGCCTGCTCTGGGACGGCTCGCCACCGCTCGTCGTCCAGCATGTGCCACCACCGCCGATCCGGGTAGCCGTCGTACTCGACCTGGTGCGCGATCCGTCCGTCCCCGTCCTCCTCCCGGCCCATGACGGTCGCGGGGTACCACCGCTCGGTGTCGCAGAAGATCTCGAGGCGCGATCCGGTGGGCAGGACAGTGTGGCCGTTGAGCGCCGCCCTGCCATCCTCGCGCTGTCGCTTCCGCCGCTTCGCCTTCGTCTCCTTGCAGCGCAGCAGGGTGTAGTTCGGGCCCGCCTCCGCCACGCTGTCCAGCAGCTGGGCGGCGCTCACCATCTCGACCGCGTCGTCCTCCGGCGGAAGCTCCGCGTTGCCCGCGGCCGCCTCCCGAGCGCGCTCGTCGCGCATCCGCTCGTGGTGGGCCTGCCGACGCGCCACGCCGGCGCCCGTGTGCGTCGCCGCCGCGTCCGGCGACGGCATCGACGCTGTCTGCCCGAGCGTGACTCCCAGCTCCACGATTTGCGGTCGACCAAATTTGGCTGCCCCCATCAAAGTTGACTCCCTTCCTTAGATACATACATATCTAGTCATCTAGATAGAGGGCTAGAGCAAGAAGAGAGAGGGAGAACAAGGCTGAAGGACGCACGTCCTCCCCGTTCGCGCATCGCGGCGGCCGACCGACACAATGCACGAGCGCAAGGTGTGCTTCCTAGTCACCGCAGGCCTTTGCCTGCTGCACTCGACGTCCGTGTCTCTGGGCATCATCCCGAGCAGCCACCCGCCAGAGGACGGCATCCTCGGACACGGCTTTGGCGAGAAGCCCAAGAATGTGGACCCTTGGGACGCGGCTCACCGCTGGAAGGCGGTCGCCGAGAACCAGAAGGAGAACTTCCCGATTGTGCTGGCAATCTACTGGGCCACAGTCCTCGTCGGCGAGGCGGCGCCCGTGGAGGCGGTGAAGGGAAGCAAAGCACCCTACTTCATGGTTGCGTACCTCCTCCTCCGCGTCGTCTACGCCGCATGCTATATCGTCGCCCTGGCGCCGTGGCGCTCGCTGGCGTTCGCAGCCTCCAATTTCGGTGGGATGTACACCGTCTTTGTCATCGGTGTCTACCGCGCCTGCAAAGTCAGCACGCCAGCCCCGGCCGATGACTATGCCATCATGCCACCGACGGTGTGAGAGAGAAGAGAGAGGAGGAGAGAGAGAGAGATGCGTTGGTATCTCTGGCTTTTGCGGGAAGGGGAACGATGGGAGAGTCAGAGCGCGATATCAAACCTGAGAGTCGGCGTGTTGAGTACTGAACGACTTGAGCAGCGCGCTGACCGGGCCACGCGCAGCTCACGCTCACACGCGAGCGGACGCGACGCTCGACGAGACGCGACAGGCGTCGACGGAGCTCGGAGCGATTTTCAAAATGTTTACGAAAATTTACTCATTACTACTACGTGTGCTGTCGGCTTTACTCTAGAAGAGCCCACAAGCCATATGTTCATCGCGTGAGCAAGGAAAAGAGACCGGAGGAGCGAGGGCGTGTGAGGATACGCACGCACCATCTCAGAGTGTGGCGGGTTGGGCCCCGCGCGCGGTTCTCTCTGCGTGTAACGGTGGCGTCGGTGAAGCGCACCATCCCCGTCCGGAAAACGCGCACCTCCTCCGCGTGGACTCATCCCGCCTTCCCCACCAATCGAGTCTGGCCGCCACTCGAGTCTGTAGCTACTAGGGTCTGGTCCAATCGAACTCTGCGATACGCCGCGCCTCGGGCAGCACTGCCCAGTGGGGCGACTGCTGCGCCTTGATCCAGTGAAAGTCGTCGACCCTGCGGGCGGGAGGAGGCGGGGGCGGGTGCCTCGAGAAGGGCAGCAGGGCGGCACCGGCGCGGCTGACAAGGTGCGGGCGAGTCGGGGGGGGGGTCTCGGCGGTGTCTCGAGGGGTCTGGGGGTGTCTCGGGTGTGGTTCTCGGGTGTGTGTGTCGGAGGTGTCTCGCAGGTGTCTCGGATCGCACCTGTCCCAAAGGTTTGCGTCGGCGCGCAACCCGGCAGCCTCGAGCGCGCCGGGGAGGGAGGGCGGCAGCGGCGGGTAGGGCGCAAAGGAGAGCGCGTCGCACCCCTCGATGATCGGGTTCGAGGCCGCGTGCAGATAGAAGGAGCACCTGCGCGCCGAAAGCGGGTGAGCCACATCTCCGGTGCAAAGGCGGCGGCGGCGGCGGCGGCGGGCGGCGGGCGGCGGGCGGCGGCGGTGGACGGTGGCCGCGCGGACGGTGGTGTGGCTGCGGCTGCGGCTGCGGCAGCGGCCGGCGGGCTGCGGGCTACCGGGCC